CCACATAGGGACAGGATCTTTGACTACATGGGGGCAGTCATCTTGTGTGTTGGAGTGATGGTCAGTTTGCATATTACTCTTTTATTAGATAGGATAGAGGCCTGGTGCACGGGTGGGGGCGAGCTGGTTTGCCCTGAAGGGTGTCCCAGATCAGGATGGGGGTTCCCTTGGGGTGTGGGGTGGCCTGAGCAAGGGGCCTGTGGTGGTTTGCAGGCCAGCCACGCCCCCTGGTGAGCCAAGTGGAGGCCCTGGTATCTGAAATTTATTTACCTTCTACAATTGAAATTTTGTAGCCTGGAACGGCAGCCAAGTCCTCTGCTCGCTTGGTGGCTGCTGCCATTTCTGTTTGGATTTGTTTACCGTCTATAATTGAAACTTTGTAGCCTTGAGTGGAGGCTTAGGCCGTCTAGGGCAGGTGGAAAGCTTGGCTTCTTTTATTGCCAGAGAAACCCAAGCTTCCCTTCTGCTATCTGTGGCTTCAGCCATCTTGGTTGGGTTTAATTTGCATGCTTGCTCTGATTGGCTGGTGGATGTGGCTGGTAGGCATGGCTGGCGGGTATAGCAGAGTTATGGTCAATTTGTATATTATTCTTTTATTAGATATTTATTGATTTCAGAAATAGAGGAAGATGGAGAAAGAGAGTTAGAAATATCAATGATGAAGGAGAATAATTGATTGGCTGCCTTCTGCACCAATCTGGGAATTGAACCTGCAATCTGGGCATGAACCCCGACTGGGAATCAAACTGGGACCTCCTGGTTTATAGGTCAATGCTCAACCATTGAGTCACACTGGCCAGGCCCCATGACTATCATTTTATATTCATTTGCTCAGTATGTGTTTTTTGGCCATTGTGAGTCTCTTAAAGTTGTCTCCTGTATCCTTTTGACATGTCTCAGAAATTTTTAAAATATATATATTTTATTGATTTTTCACAGAAAGGAAGAGAGAGGGATAGAGAGTTAGAAACATCCATGAGAGAGAATCATCGATCAGCTGCTCTTGCACACCCCCTACTGGGGATGTGCCTGCAACCAAGGTACATGCCCTTGCCCAGAATCGAACCCGGTTCCTTTCAGTCCGCAGGCCTACGCTCTATCCACTGAGCCAAACCGGTCCCGGCATGTCTTATAAATTTTTTAGCACTTGTATACTTTCTGGCACTACAACAATATTCCAGGTTTATCTTATACTTCCTCCGCCCCAGCTCTGGAGTCAGCCGTTTAAGTGTAGAGTAATATTTAGAAACCAAGATCTGCGTTCTGGAAGGGCACATTGCTACTGGGATGCTATTGCTTCTAGACTCTTAAATGGACAGAGCTAGAAAATAAATTTACCAGTGTGTGTGTGCACACTTTTAGATTTCTGTGTGTGTGTGTGTGTGTGTGTGTATGTGTATATTCATACAAATACCTCTGGTTTCTGTCTGTCCCTACGGATTCAGAGTTATCTCACTTTGTCTCTCTCATTACTTGTAACTTCACCAACAGTGTGAAACCTAGTTCTAGTTACCCACAACATATGAACTTATTTGATTAATCCTATATAATAAGGAGGGAATATGCAAATTGACCATCACTTCATCACATATAATAGATGGCTGCACCCACAGCTAAGGCCAAGTTCCCATAAGGAGCCTTAACAAGCAATCAGCAGGGATCTGAGGCTACATCCTCCCCATGCTCTCCCTCACCCTATGGGTCTTAACAGGGAACCTCAGGCTGCATTCCCCACCCAGCCGGGCTTGACAGGGGACCTCAGGCAGTGCCCCCTGCCCTGGCATCAGGCTAGGAGACCTCAGGCCACACTCCCCGCCCATTGCCAGGCTCTGGGATCTGAGGCCACACTCCCCGCCCCATTGCCAGGCTCTGGGATCTGAGGCCACACTCCCCGCCTGGCGGGGCTTGACAGGGGACCTCATGGTGCGCTTCCTGTCCTCGTGCTGGACTAGGGGACCTCAGGCTGTTCCCCCTGCCCCAGTGCCAGGCCCCTCACCAGGTGGGGCTTGACGGGATCTCAGGCAGTGTCCCCTATCTGGCGGGGCTTAACAGAGGACCTCAAGGCACGCCCTCCACCCCTATCTGGGCTGGGGGACCTCAGGCCACACCCCAACCCTGGCATCGGGCCAGGGGGCCTGAGGCTATGCCCCCTGCCCAGTGGGGCTTGACAAGGGTGGGACTGGCCGGGTCTGGATCTAGCCCAATGGGGGAGGGGGACTGCCGGGTCTGGGTCTCATGCAATTTTGAAATGCATGTGGGTGGGCAGGGACTTGACTCTGGGTCCCATGGTGAGCCCCAGACTCTGACATGAGGAAGGTTTTCATATACATTTTACTAATTTTCTTTCATCTCTGACACTTCTATTATAGAGAAAGGGCAAATAGCAATGTTAAATTATTTCCTCTAATTCAGTGTTTCCCAAAGTGTGGTACCCGTACCCCTAGAGGTACGGGAAGAGTTTGGTGGGGGTACGCATTGCACCGGAGTTTGGTGGGGATATGCACTGCACCGTGCTTAGCTGCGCCTAATTCTACGTTCTCATGAGTACGAGGGGTACTCAGCGTTACGAAAATTATAGAAGGGGTACACGTATGTCAAAAGTTTGGGAAACACTGCATTAATCCCCTTTTAATGTGCACGAATTTCATGTACCGGGCCACTAGTTTTAGAATAAAGACAAAGCAGTTTCAGAATTTCATTTCTCTTTGAAAAATTCAATAACTGAAGTATAGTATTTGTATAGTTTTTTTTTTTTTTCTCATCTTACACAGTTTTCGAAATTTACTTTGGCTAATTCTTTTCTGGTCTACTCCTTTCATTCTGGTTACGTTGATTATTTGTAATACAGTAAGGTTCATTTATTATTGTTTTTATTTATTTCAGTTTGGATTTACTGTACAATAAACCCCCAGTTTTGTGGACCTTAATTTAATGGACTCCCTAGAAAGTAAAACTTTTGTTTTCTGCCAAGATAGGAGAAGGAATCATAGGGGTTTTTTTTTATTCAGACTTTGAACCAGTTCTTCATTTTTCCACTCCCCTCCTTTCCTGATAGGTATTATTGCTTTCAATTCTTAATCCTTTCTGAGGTCCTGTAGCTTGCCCCTACTGCTGGCTTAATTTCTGCTATTTTGGCCTTCTAAGTCTGTTAATACTCATTCATCTGCTTTCTTCTTTTATTTATTTATTTATTTTTTTAAACTTAAAAAATATATATATATATTTTATTGATTTTTCACAGAGAGGAAGAGAGAGGGATAGAGAGTCAGAAACATTGATGAGAGAGAATCATCAATCAGCTGCCTCTTGCACACCCTATACTGGGGATGTGTCCGCAACCAAGGTACATGCCCTTGCCCGGAATCGAACCCGGGACCTTTCAGTTTGCAGGCCGACGCTCTATCCACTGAGCCAAACCGTTCCCGGCTCTTCTTTTATTTTTAAATTTATTTTTTAAACATTTCTTATTGATTTTTTTACAGAGAGGAAGGGAAAGGGATAGAGAGTTAGAAACATCGATGAGAGAAAAACATCGATCAGCTGCCTCCTGCACACCTCCTACTGGGGATGTGCCTGCAACCAAGGTACATGCCCTTGACCGGAATTGAATTTGAGACCTTTCAGTCCACAGGCCAACGCTCTATCCACTGAGCCAAACCAGTTTTGGCTGCTTTCTTCTTTTAAAAATAGTATTGCTCTCATTTCCTTTTTCATTATCTTTGTCCTTGAGTGTTTTTACCATTTTAAAACCCATGTTTGTTATCTTAATGGGATTTAGGGAGGGAACTGAGGTAAACATGTATTTAGTCCTTGCATATTGGGAAATGATTCTTTTTTATTTTATTTTATTTTATTTTATTTTATTTTATTTTATTTTTATTGATTTTTTTACAGAGAGGAAGAGAGAGAGACAGAGAGCTAGAAACGTCGATGAGAGAGAAACATCGACCAGCTGCCTCTTGCACACCCCCTACCGGGGATGTGCCCGCAACCAAGGTACATGCCCTTGACCGGAATCGAACCCGGGATCTTTCAGTCCGCCTGCTGACGCTCTACCACTGAGCCAAACCGGTTTCGGCGATTCTTAAAACTTATTTTATTGTGGGGCCGGGATCGGTTTGGCTCAGTGGATAGAGCAACGGCCTGCAGACTGAAAGGTCCTGGGTTCAATTCCGGTTGAGGGCATGTACCTTGGTTGCGGGCACATCCCCAGTAAGGGGTGTGCAAGAGGCAGCTGATCGATGATTCTCTCTCATCGATGTTTCTAACTCTCTATCCCTCTCTCTTCCTCTCTGTGAAAAATCAATAAAAGTAAAAATAAACAAAAACAAACAAACAAACAAAAAAAACCCTTATTTTATTGTGGGTACGTATAGCAAACAGGGTCATGTTAGAGTACCCATGACTTTCTCCTCAACTTTCACTGTGGGGAATCCCTTGATCATGTAGGATTTCATTGTGTCTGATAGTCTAAGTTGAACTTTTTGTGCTCTCTTTATTCATTTTTTTAAAATTTATATTTCTGTGAATATATCTCTATAATCTAAATTTATTTAAAGACTTTTTTTTACTGATTTTTTAGAGAGAGGAAGGAAGAAGTAGAGAGAGAAAGAGCAAAACATTGATGTGAGAGTGGTGCATCAATCAATGGCCTCCTGCATGCCCCTACCTGGGATCAGACTCACAACCTGGGCATGTGCCGTGACCTGGAATTGAACTGGCAACCTTCCAGTGCACAGGATGACACCCAACCAAGCCACATTGGCCAAGCTTGACCTAAATTTTTTTAATTGATTTTTTTTCATAGAGAAAGGAAGGGATAGACAGAATCATCAACTTGTTATATCCACCTATTTTGGCTGATTTTGTATGTGTCCTAACGGGATCGAACTTGCAGCCTTAGTGTATCTGGATGATGCTTTAACCAAGTTACCCCGCCAGGGCTCTTTATGACCTAATTTTTAGGGTAGAAATGTAACTTTTCTTTTTCTTCTTTACAGCTACATCCAGATCTCATTATGTATCAGAAAGATGAAAAAACAGAGGAAAATTCTATGGAGGAAAGGAATCCACTTAGCTTTTTCTGAGAAATGGAATACTGGGTTTGGAGGTTTTAAGAAGTTCTACTTTCATCAGCACTTGTGCATTCTGAAAGCAAAGTTGGGAAGGCCAGTTACCTGGAGCAGGCAGGTGAGGCATTTCCAGAGCAGAAAGAAGGGCCTTCAAACCCAGCAAACTTGGATCCAGGATGAACCCCTTTTTGATAAGACGAAGTTGAATGTGGCTGCTGAAAACGTTAGTCCTCTGTCCTCTAAAGTGAAAAGAAACGGCAGTAAACACTCAAGGACCCTCCCGAAACGCCAAGCAGAGAAGTCGCTGTCAGCAGAGAACTGTGACCATGAGGACCACGGAGGGAAAAATCTCTCGCAGGCAGGGGCTGACTTACCAGCAAATAGTGTTTTAGGTCACAGACCCAGGAGGGAGCTGCAAGCTTCTGACTTTCCCATGAAGTTCAATGGGGAGAGTGGCACGGTTGTGGTCACCTTGAGCAACCATAAGAGAAAGCGCTTTTGTTATGGCTGCTGCCGAGGACTGGAGCACCCCAGGAAGAGGGGACCTCTGACTCCGAAAAAGTTCCAACTTAACCAACATAGAAGAACAAAAGGATCTCCTCTTATGATGTATGAGAAATTATCCATGATTAGATTTCGGTACAGGATTCTCCGATCCCAGCACTTCAGAACAAAGAGCAAAGTTTGCAAGCTAAAAAAAGCCCAGCAAAGCTGGGTGCAGGTCACTGGGGACCATCAGGAGACCCTTAGGGAGAACAGTGAGGGTGGCAATTGCAGCCCATTCCCTTCCCCAGAACTGAAAGACCCTTCTTGTCGGCATCAACCACACTTCCCAGACATGGACAGCAGTGCTGTGACGAAAGGAAAGAACTCTCACATGCCTGATGGCTGCGCTAAAGGAAGCCCTTTCTTGGGCAAGGAGCTTAGTTTAGCTGAAGCATTCCCTGACCAACAGAATGGCGGTGCCACATACACCTGGGACCAGTCACCCTCTTCCCCTCCTAAGTGGGAGTTTCCAGAGCTAATTCATGACATCCCCTTACCAGACCATCATTCTAGTAACGTGTTTATCTCAGAAACCGAAAGAGAAACTGTGACTCTTGGTCAGGAAAATCGGACAAGTAATGACACAGTAAAATTGCCAGTGTCTGGGGCAGATCAATCTGTAAGTAATGTAGATGGGCCTGTGTCCGAAGAGACTGTTCAGAAAGAGGGCTCGTACCAGATGGATGAGGATGGACCTCTCAAGCAGAACATTCTTAGTTCTAAGTTGCTGGACCACCCTTATTGTAAAAGCCCGCTGGAGGCTCCTCTGATGTGCAGTGGAGTCACCCTAGAAAATCAAGTGGGAGGTGGGAAGAACAGTCAGAAAGCATCTCCAGTGGATGACGAACAGCTGTCAGTCTGCCTTTCTGGTATGCACTCTTCCTTTATTCTCCCAACCTCCAGCCCACACTCGCTGTTCATTGTGCTGTCTAGGATAGTGCTTTTCCCTTCCACACATGGATTTCCCTTTACACAATTAGACATGCTCCTTGACATTTGTCTTTTATATTGCTTTATTATGTAGATGTCCCATAGTTTAATTCTTGATTGAAGGACACTTCCAGTTGTTTTCTTCTATAAACAATGGTGCAATGCAACTACTTCTTTATAATTATGCAGGTGTTTCTGTAAGTTAAATTCCTGGTAGTAGAATTGATGGTGGAAGAATATATTAAAAATTTTAAGAGGATTGTTACATTAGAGTTCAAAAAGTTGAGTCAGTTTACACTTGTTAAATTTTGTCAGTCTTACGGATCACGAGAGTTTTTCGCTTTAATTTGAGGGTTTTTTTTTAATGTTCAGTTTTTATTTTTATTTTTTAAGCATTTTTTATTTTAATACTATTGAATTTTTTGGTGTGACATTGGTTAATAAAATTAGTTAGGCGTCAGGGGTACAATTCTGTAATACCCCTGGGGTACATCATCCGGGATATATCATCTGTATATTGTATTGTGTTTACCTCCCCAAGTCATAATTTGCTTTTTTGAGTTTAAAGTTTGAACATTTTTGTCTATATTTGTTGGCCATTTTTTGTTTGTATATAACTTTTATTTGCCTATTTTTCTATTGGGTTATTTATTTAATTACAAGAAGCTCTTATGTACCAGGCAATGTGACAGTTCTAAGAATGTAGCACTAAATACTCTGTGAGGGCAGGATACACTGATTCTTACCTCCATAGACTTTATCTTTATCATCATTCTAGTTTTAAAGATGTTAAATTAAATTTTAATTATAAATATGATGAGTTTGTTTTTCTCTCCCAAAAGATAAAAGCCTACACTTTGTATATAGTTTTGCTTAACAGAAATTTTTTTTTTTTTTTTTTTAAATATATTTTTATTGATTTTGTACAGAGAGGAAGGGATAGAGATAGAGAGCTAGAAACATCAACGAGAGAGAGCCATCGATCAGTCGCCTCCTGCACACCCCCCACTGGGGATATGCCCGCAACCAAGGTACATGCCCTTGACTGGAATCGAACCCGGGTCCCCTCAGTCCCCAAGCCGACGCTCTATCCATTGAGCCAAACCGGTCCCGGCTTAACAGAAATTTTCAGTTCTTTCATAGTAAAATGTATCTGTCTTTACTTTATGGCCTCAGGTTACTGTGTCATGTTTTATTTTATTTTATTTTTTATTTATTTTTATTTTTTTATATATTTTATTGATTTTGTACAGAGAGGAAGAGAGAGAGAGTCAGAAACATCGATGAGAGAGAGTCATCGATCAGCCGCCTCCTGCACATCCCCCACTGGGGATATGCCCACAACCAAGGTACATGCCCTTGACTGGAATCGAACCCGGGTCCCCTCAGTCCCCAAGCTGACGCTCTATCCACTGAGCCAAACCGGTCTCGGCATTGTGTCATGTTTTAATTGTTAAAATCTACCCCCCAAAATCAGTTGGCATAAACATTTTTGGAAGACACTATGGTAGAGTGTCTAACATGTATTCCCCTTATTGCAATTTATCCAAGATCTAAAAGAGTACAAATATATTTGTACAGGGACATTACTTAAGACAATAAATGTTTCTATGGCACATTCAAGCAGTAGTATACTATGAAGCTGTTAAGGAATAAATTGTATCTGTATTTTGATACTGAAAGCTGCCTATATAAAATGAAAAAGCAAGTTGTAAAATGATGCCATTTTGTTAAATATTACATATGCATATATGTAGGATAAGTATATGTATATATGTGTCCACATGTATCTGTATAAGATATATCTGGACAGATATATCAAATTTTTATAAATGGCTTTTTCTGGAAAGATATATCAAATTTTTATAAATGGCTTTTATAAAAGGCAAGTTACTTCTTGGTGGTTTAAATAATTCTGAACACTTTGTTTGGCCAACAATTAAATCTGTATAAAAAATTCCCAGACACACATGCAAAAACCTCTTCAAAGTACAGAGTCCTAGCAAATCTTTAAAAAACCTATTTTTGTCATTTATACTGTCCAGAAGAAAGACAAATTTCCCTACCATGAGATTAGCAGAACCATGATACACAAACCTAAAATACCAAATTAATTTATACATATAGATGTAGCACTTCCAAAAACAATAAGTACATTGAATATGGCATATATTAAAACTGTAGCATGATGTGAGGAAGTAGGAATTTTTATAGAATTCATGTTTATTCACATTAGTGATGTGTACTGCAATACATGAAAAGTATGTTAAAAACACATGTGTCTCTCCATACTTAAAACTAGGAGGAGAGTTTGGGGAAATCAGAAACTGAGTAACTCCCAGAAGGCAGAAAGGAGAGGGACGGTCCAAAGGGGAGCCCCAGGAGCAGAAGGAAGATTAGTGCAGGGAAATGATGCAGTACCAAGTGAGGCCCATTTCTGGAGATGGTAGAGGTAGAAAGGAAAGGGGAGACCTATGATAAAAGACTGAGTAGAGGAATCTCAGCAAAAGTATCTTTCCCGGCCTGTGCCACATATCAGCAAGGAGGATATCAGCCATCAGGCTGCAATCCTCACTCCTTTTGCGTACAGCATTGGTATTCTAACAACAAGATATTGATGGGGAGAGAGGACATTTCCCATCCTCCCTGCTCCAATACTCGTAACACTTGGCAAGAATGAGGAACAGTCATTTCCAGAACAGTTTTTGGAGTTCTTAGCTTCTGCACCAAATTGAAAATAGTTCAAGACAGCCTTAGCCGGTTAGGCTCAGTGGATAGAGCGTCGGCTGTATGTACTTCAATATACTTACTGTTTCATAATATTATCCATTAGTTTAAGTGGAATATGAGTGTAAAGAGAAAGTTATTCTTTTCAAAACCAAGTTGGATGTGTTGAAATGACAACTGAGTTGCTGAAAAAAATTTATACTGAGTTTTGCTTATACAAGATAACTTTTTAAAAGTATGTTTTTATTTATTTTTTTTTAGGTGGGATAGAAATAGAAACATTGATGAGAGAGAAAACATATACTTTAAAAGAGTTGGAGGATATGAAAATCTAGGATTCTGTATTCAGATTAGCTAATGTTTTGGAAGGAAAGAAATAGATTCCTTTGTCACAACATTCTAGATGGATTAAAAATTTAATTAGAAACAAGTAAATACATAAAAACTTGTACCCAATGTTCATAGCATCGTTATTCATAATAGTCAAGAAGTGGAAACAACCTAAATGTTTATTAACTGATGAATGGATAAATAGAATTTGGTATATCTACACAGTGGATTATTGTGTTATAAATAGAAATGGAATACTTAAATATGTTTCAGTGTGAATGAATTGAAAGTATGCTAAGTGAAAAATGCCAAATAAAAAGGCCACATACTGTAGGATTCTATTGATTTGACATGTCCAGAGTAGGCAAATATGTGGAGATAAAATTAGATTAATGGTTGCCATGGCTGGGGGGAGAGAGGAATAAGGAGTGATTACTAATAAGTTTCTCTGTGGGTTAATGAAAATGTTCTGGAATTAAGTAGTGATAATGGTTGCACAATTCTAAATATATAAAATCACTGAATTGTTCACTTTAAGAGGTCGAATTTTGTGGTGTGTAAATCATAGTTCAATAAAACTGTTAAAAAATAAGTACAAGGAACTATTTTAATAATCAAAGCATGATGGGAAACTCAATCAATAAAAATATACCAATCTAACTTCATAAACATTAAAAACTTGTATATGTGTATAACAAAACTCATAGGTGAAAGTTAAAGTTTTAGACATGCAATTGTCCTTTGATCCAGAAATTTGACTGTTCTGGCAACCAATAGAACAAAGATATGTGAAAGGTTTTAATTACTTAGAGAGCTAAAAATTAACTTTTAAATGGTCATCAATAGGGAATTGGTTAAAATATGGCATACCCATGTAATGTTGTTTTGAATTGACTTAGGTAAGAAATAACATGTATTGAAGGAAAAAAAGCAGATTCAAGAAGAGTAAATATAGCGTATTGTTTATATGTTTAAGAAAAACATGTTTATAAGGGCGTAAAGTTATAAAATAATTACAGGGTAATTGCCACTTCGTTTTAAAATATTTATGGTCATAATTTAGAAAAAAAAACCCTTAAAATTAAAGCTTCTTCCTGTTTGAATACTATAAAAATATTCATTCCCACTTTCTTCTAGACCATTAACGTGTTATTTTTACATTTAGCCACTTGGAAAAAAGTAAAATGGATCCCTGCCTCATTCTTTACACCAAGATGAATTCCAACTGTGAATAAAATAATTGGTCACTGGTTCTAGTACCATTGATTGATTCATCTTTTCCCCAGGGTCATGAGAGCCACCTGCCATTGGCTCTGTTTCTTTGCTAGCACTGTTCTGCTTTGATTGCTATTTAGTTTTATAATTTGGTGGGACTAGGCTCTGTTTCTTCTCTTGCTCCTTATTCGCTGCTCCCTTTTAATCCTTAAAAAGTTTAAAGGAATTTCTCACATTTTTGTCTCAAGAGGAATTTTGGATTTTTTAAAATTATAAACAAACCGTGGCTTTTAGTTGGTATTGTATTCATTTATAGATTAATTTATGGGAAATTGCATTGATTACAATATTTGTGTTTTCCTGTCTAAAAACAAAGAATTCCATTTATTGACCCATCTGTCCCTTATAGAATTTTATAATGCTTTTTACTTAGATTTTGCACAAACCTTAAGTTTATTCTTATATTTCATTATTTAAAAATGTTTTAATTGAATTTGATAGGATGATATTAACAAACTTACATAAGTTTCAGGCATATATAATACATCAGTACCTTCCTTTTGATTTCTGGCATATGTATTTTTTAGAGAACCAAGTGGTTGCATTTCTTATGTGCATAACACAACCTTTTTCCACTTTTAGGATGGGATGCTATTTCAATAAAAAACTGTCCAATTTAACTTCTTTTTAAAAAAATATATTTTATTGATTTTTTACAGAGAGGAAGGGAGAGAGATAAGAGCTAGAAACATCAATGAGAGAGAAACATTGACTAGCTGCCTCCTGCACAACTCCCACTGGGGTTGTGCCCGCAACCAAGGTACGTGCCCTTGACTGAAATCGAACCTGGGACCTTTCAGTCAGCAGGCTGACGCTCTATCCACTGAGCCAAACAGGTTTTGGCATGTCCAATTTAACTTCTAAAATAATACCTCAGCTTTTATTTTTTAAATTATTACCTTTTGTACTTGCAGGATGGACTATAATTTGAACTGTAGTTTTTTGTTATTTTTTCCTCCCCTAATATTTTGTCCTTTGCTTCTTGGTCACATTGAAATTTTAGTTCTTTTGAAGTAAAAGAAATTGTATTCCAAATGCACTTTTCCTTTTTGGTTCATTAGTTTGGTGATAGCAAGAATAATAGACCTGGCCGGGACCGGTTTGGCTCAGTGGATAGAGCGTCGGCCTGCGGACTGAAGGGTCCTGGGAGGCATGCCGGAGGAAACTGATCAGTTATTCTCTCTCATCATTGACCTCTCTCTCTCTCTCGGAAATAAAAATAAAAAATAAATAATTTTTTTTAAAAGATTTTGTTGTTGTTAATCCTCATATGAGGGGTGGATGGTAGAGAGAGACATCTAGTTGAGAGAGGTACATTGATTGCTTGCCTCCCGCACTTACCTGCAACCCAGGTATGTGACCTTGACCAGGAATTGGGCCGATGCTCTAACCCAGTGGTCGGCAAACTGTGGCTCGTGAGCCACATGCGGCTCTTTGACCCCTTGAGTGTGGCTCTTCCATAAATACCACCTGCGGGCATGCACGTACAGTGCAATTGAAACTTCATGGCCCATGTGCAGAAGTCAGTTTACAGCTCTCAAAAGAAATTTCAATCGTACTGTTGATGTTTGGTTCTGTTGATTAATGAGTCTGCCGGCCACTGCTCTAACCAATAAGACACACCTGCCAGGGCAAAGATTTTTTAATAGTATGACATATGTAGTACGATAGGTTAAATATAGGTTAAGTATTGGGAGAATGCTGAAAATGGTTTTTCCACCTTAATCTTTCTTTCTTTATTTAAGGATTCCTAGATGAGGTTATGAAGAAGTATGGCAGTTTGGTTCCACTCAGTGAAAAAGATGTCCTTGGAAGATTAAAAGATGTCTTTAATGAAGACTTTTCTAATAGGTTTGTCTATGATGCTTAAGTTAAGCCCTTGACAATAAAATTTAGCATACATAACTTTTTCTTGATTAAAATAAGATACTTTAGTAATAATTTGAGTAGAACTCATGTTTTTAATTTTCTATTTAAAAATCTTTCTGTTTCAGAAAACCATTTATCAATAGGGAAATAACAAACTATCGGGCCAGACATCAAAAATGTAACTTCCGTGTCTTCTACAATAAGCACATGCTGGATATGGATGATCTGACGACACTGGATGGTCAGAATTGGCTGAATGACCAGGTTAGTGTATTGTAGGTTCTCATCATGGAAAAGTTGCAAAGGATGTTGGACAACAAAATATAATTAATAACGTCTGTGTTGGCCTTATTGTTATCTTTTGGAATCAAGAATTCTTTATTCCTTATTGAAGTGACTCATTCTCTAACCCCACTGTCCGAAGGTATGATTACTGTTAGCAGTATCAATGTGTTAATTCATTTTGAGTGGGATGTTCTAAATTGTATAGGATTAGTAAGCTGCTTTTATGTTGGCTTCTTTATAGGTCATTAATATGTATGGTGAGCTGATAATGGATGCAGTCCCAGACAAAGTAAGTGAAAACTTACTCTTCTTTAGGAGCAAGAGCCCTTGTATATTAAAAACAAACAAACACTTTATATAATTATGATATTGCTTGGATTTTTTTAAAAAGGATTAATTTTGTCTTGATCAGATGCTAGGTTTGGGCTTATGTTCTACAAAATCACTTCTGCATAGAAAGTCATGACTGCTGGTGTTTCCTACTATTTGTTTCAAAGTAGATATGGTTATCTTTTTTTTTTTTTTTTTTTTCTTAATCCTCACCACAGAGGATATTTTTCCATTGATTTTTAGGGTAAGTAGAAGAGAGAGGGAAAGACAGAGAGAAATATTAATATGAGAGAAACACACCTATTGGTTGCCTCCTGCATGAGCCCCGACCAGAGCCAGGCCAGGGAGGAACCTGCAACCAATGCCCTTGATTAGAGTCGAATCTAAGACCTTCAGGCCACAGGCCAATGCTCTATCCACTGAGCCAAACCAGCTAAGGCTGATTGTTGATATCTTGAGACGGCTTTTTCTTAGTGGAAGATACACAAAAGGGACTATTTACTTTAAGCTTTTAAATTTAACTTAGTTTTACTATCTTTTAAAAGTGGTAAAGTAGTATTTAGCTTCATTTTATTTTGGATTAATCGTTGATACTCAGTTCAAATACAAACTAAATTTTAAAATTTCCTTATCTTAGTTACATATTAAAACTATTCTTAAAATGTAATATATTAATTTCTTTCTGAGTACTACTCAAATTGCTTAGTGAGTAGCCTTTGATTTCAACAATCAAAACTTTTCGAAATACTTTATAAACTTTTGAAAGTCTAACAGATTAACAGATAATGTAATGAATATCAGATTCCAACACTATTTATGAATATAGACAAAATGTCATAACTTTCCACTTAGAATCGCAAATATGTTTTATCATGAGGCTAATCTGTCAGATTGCATTCCAGATTCTGATGAATACAAAGTGTGAGACTCACTGCTCTAGAAATAGCTACTGTAAGTTCTTTTAAAAACCTGTATCTTAAGCCACATGGTTCTCAAAATAAATGTGCATCAGAATCCTCTGGTTTATGAAACCAGATTGCTGAGCCTCAACCTCAGAGTTTGTGCTTCAGTAGGTCTAGGGTAGAGTCTCAGAATTGCATTTTGGCAAGTTCCCAGGTGATGCTGATACTTGTGTTTTGGTGACCACATCTGAGAAACTCAACAGGAAGAGAACAGTTGTATCATTTCAAGTGAGTCAAAGTTTCTGAGAAAACATTTAAGACCACAATTGTTTACCGTCTCAGGTGGCCTGATACTAATTTAGAAGCCAAAACTTTGAAGCCATGGATGCAGGACATGATACTCCATATGACTGGAATAATTCTTTCAGTGCTAGAAATGATTAAGCTATGGCCTTTTTATAGTTGTTATGACAACAAGAATTTCCAAATTCACATTCTTCATATGAGGTTAGTTTTGTAATCCATACCCTTTAGTTCAAGGTAATTATTACCTCATTCTTTCATAGCTTCTTTCAACTTGATCACCTGATTTGGAGAAATCTGTCAGGTTGCTTGTCTACTTGATTGGATTCAGGTAATCTATTTACTGTCCATTCCAGTTCTAACTATAGACCACAGCTGTAAGGTCATTCTAATGAAAATTTGAGTAGAATCTTCTGAGAACCATGCAATGTATTTTTTTATATTTTGGTTATTTTAAAGAAGAAACTTCCCCTCACTTTTTTTGTTTATCTTATATTCAAGGAGTTTAAATTTCCTTTTTTTTTTTTTTAGTTAAACCTGGGCCTAATATAATGTGGGTGCTTGTATTTGATGTCTCTTCTAGGTTCACTTCTTCAACAGCTTTTTTCATAGACAGCTGGTAACCAAAGGATATAATGGAGTAAAAAGATGGACTAAAAAGGTATTCTCTTTTTTCTAAATTTGTAATGCAGATGATAATCCACTTTGAGTGGAAGTATACGAACTTTATTACCAATGTGATGTTAATTAGAAACAGACTTTTTTTTTAATTGATTTTTTACAGAGAAGAAGGGAGAGGGATAGAGTTAGAAACATTGATGAGAGAGAAACATCGATCAGCTGCCTCGTGCACACCCCCTGCTGGGGATGTGCCTGCTGCCAAGGTACATGTCCTTGACCGGAATTGAACCTGGAACCCTTCGGTCCATAGGCCGATGCTCTATCCACTGAGCCAAACTGGTTAGGGCTAGAAACAGACTTTTAATGTGAAAGTTTTTTGTTGTTTCTTTTAAATCTTGCTCAAAAAATAAGACACTAGTAAAATTGAGTCTATCCCCTTGATTGGAATGTACTGTTGCTGAGCCTCAACCTCAGATTTGGTCTTTAGTTAGGTCTAGGGTAGAGTCTCAGAATTGCATTTAGTAAGTTCCCAGGTGATGCCGATGCTTATGTTCTGGTGACCACATCCGAGAACCTCAACAGGAAGAGAACAATTGTATCATTTCAGGTAACAAAGCACTGGCAGAAAGTTAATGGTTTGCACTACTATTAGCTTAATGTGCAACTTGGACAAGACAGTTTGGGCTATAGATTGCTTATTTATCAAAATGATAAATCAGAGTAATCCTTAAATCACTTTGTCTTTTTAGAAGATATATATTTTTATTGATTTCAGAGAGTAGGGGAGAGGGAGAGATAGAAACATCAATGACGAGAATCTGATCAGTTGCCTCCTGCAGACTGCCTGCTGGGCATCAAGCCCGCAACCCTGGCATGTGCCCTGACTGGGAGTCAAACTGGCGACCTTTTGATGTTTCTCTCTCATCTATGTTTCTAGCTCTCTGTCCCTCTCCCTTCCTCTCTGTAAAAAAATCAATAAAATATATATATTTTAAAATATTCCTATAAAAAAAAATAAAGTGATTCACACTAATTTTGGGGTTTCCCCGTGCCTGTAAAAGTTATGTTCACATTATACTGTAGTCTATTAAGTGTGCAATAGCATATGTCTAAGAAAACAGTGTACATGCCTTAATTAGAAAACACTTTATTGCTAAAAAAAAAAAAAAATGCTGACCATTCAGGCCTGTTGAGAAATGGCACCAATAGACTTGCTCAATGTAAGGTTACCACGAGCCTTCAATTTGTTAAAAAAAAATGCAATATTTGCAAAGCACAGTAAAGTGAAGAGCAATGAAATGAAGTATACCTGTACACTCATGGAAAATTAAACATGAGAGAAAAGGACTAAAATCAAGTATGCAAGTCATTTCATTAAATAGAATGAATTAAATTATTCTGTCCTCTAGATCCTTTCAGATTGGATTAAGTTACTAAATTCATCTATATGTTATATATAAGAAATAAAATAATATGAAAAAGAAAGGTTGAAAATAAAGCAACAGTTAAAGAGGTAGTAGGCGATTGCAAAACAGAAGAAGGAAGTCACCAAAAAACACACACACAAAAAAAGGATTAGCATTATTAAGAGCATTTGAGGTAGAATTTAAGGTGAAAAGTAAACTATGATAATTCCAATATTGTAAAAGTGTAAAGATTGCTAAAATAACAGTATTGGGAGATATATATACTAGATCTTTATACCCCTCAAAAAGAAAATATACATTTGTTCCTTTAAGAAACATTTGTAAAAATTGATTGTATACTTGGCTACAAAGTACATATTTCTTGATCACAATTCAATCTAATTAAAATAAATAATAAAAAGTGGTTTAAATCTTAATAATTTGAAGATTTTATAGATGCATACATTACTAGATATGGCCATGGGGTTCAAAAGAAAATAAAAAAGTAACTTATACGGTTTGGCTCAGTGGTAGAGCATCGGTCTGTGGACTGAAGGGTCCCCGGGTTCGATTCTGGTCGGGGTTTGTACCTTGGTTGCGGGCGCGTCCCCGGTGGGGGGGGTGCAGGAGGCAGCTAGTCGATGTTTCTCTCTCATCAACGTTTCTGGCTCTCTCTCTCTCTCTCCCTTCCTCTCTGTTAAAAATCAATAAAATTTTAAAAAAAAGTAACATATACAAACTGTCTAGAAAGGGATGGAAAGGGGAGTATATCTTACCAACTACTATGAAAAGCTGTTTTGAGGAGAAAGTTAATGGCCACAAATGCCTTTATTATTAAGGAAAAGTGAAAAATAGAAGAATTAAGTAAAATTAAATTACAGAATGACTAAGGATTTAAATGCAACAAAAATGAAATAGTGAAAGTAAGAAGAGAATCCGTAAGATCTTTTAAAAAACAATGTCAGCATAGTGAAGTCTATTCTCTATACAACTTAAAACTCAGATGCTATAAACAAAATTAATTCAATTACACAAAAAGAAATAATTTTGCATTTAAAATAGGAGCAATGTAAAAGGACAAATAAACTGGGACAAATATTTGTAACTCATATCACAGAACTAATTTTCTTTTTTTCTTTATGTATTGATAGAGAGGAAAGGGAAGAGAAAGAGAGATAGATTTGTTGTTCTACTTACTTATGCATTCATTGGTTGATTCTTGTATGTGCCCTGACCAAAGATCAAACCCTCAACGTTGGCATATTGGGATGATGCTCTGACCAATCAAGCTACTTGGCCAAGGCCACAGAACTAATTTGCTTACTGTATAAAGGGCTTTTTGTACAAATCAATAAGAAAAGACCCCACAAATAGTAGAAAAATGGGTGAATTATATAATTGAAAGTTTTAAAGTTTATTATTGAGTTCTGGATATAAGTCTTCTGTCAGATCTGTTTCGTGATTGTTTTCTTTTAGTCTATGGCTTTTTTACTTATTTTCTTAACCATATCTTTTGATGAACAGAGATTATAAATGTTGATGAAACCTAATTTACCATACTTTTTCTTTTATAGTTATTGCTTTGTATAACCAGTCTAAAAAAATACTTGCCTCTGATGTTTTCTTTAGATAGCATTAAAGTTTTTAGGTTTTATATTTATATCTCTAATATATCTAAATTTTGGTATAAGAAATGAGGTAGAAATCAAGGTTCTTTCCACCCCCTTCCCACTCCCATATGGATATCCAGTTGTTCCAATGTTATTTACTGAAAAGACTTCTCTTTCCCAGTTAATTGCTTTGGCAACTTTGTAGAAAATCAGTTGATCATATATGTGTGGTCTATTTCTGGACTTTATGTTCTCTTACATTGATCCATTTGTTCTTATGCTGGGTATTCCTCAGCCCTGCCTGCACCGTCTCCAATTTGGGATCCCTCGAAGGATATCCTACTGCGGGTTTACAGGGATTGGGCTTAAACTGGCAGTCAGACATCCCTCTCACAATCTGGGACTGCTGGCTCCAGCCGCTCACTTGCCTGCCTACCTGCCTGATTGCCCCTAACCACTCTGCTAGCCTGTTCGCCCCCAACTGCCTCCCCTGATGGCCTGCTCACTCCAAACTGCTCCCCCTCCTGCTGTCCTGATCACATCCAACTGACCCCCACTGATGGCCTGCTCACCCCCAACTGGCCCCCCTGCTGGTCTGCTTACCCCCAACGGCCTCTTCTGTCTCATTCTGGCCTAATCACCCCCCTCTCCCTCCCCTCACTCCCCCCCCTCCCTGTCTCCCGCCCCCCGTGACCCAAGGTCCCAGCTCCTCCTTTTTCTTTTTTCTTTTTCTTTTTCAGTGCCTCCTTGAGTGGAGGCCAGGGCCAGCTGAAAGCAAGTATCTAGGATTTATTGACCTTATATAATTGAAGCTTTGTAGCCTTGAGCAGAGGCCAGGGCAGGTGGGAAGCTTGGCTTCCTCCATTGCCAGGGCAGCCCAAGCCTCCTGCTTGCTCCAGCTCTGTGGCCGGCCACCATCTTGGTTGGGTTACTTTGCATACTCACTCCTGATTGGCTTCTGGGTGTAGTAGTAATGGTTAATTTGCATGTTTCTCTTTTATTAATGTAGATCATACTAACGTGATCACCGTATGTTAAAAGTATGTCTTGAAATAAGTTTAAGTTGGCCAGCTTTATCCTTCTTTTTCCAGATTGTTTTGGCAATTCAGGTTCTTTGCATTTTTCATATAAATATTAGAATCAGTTTGTCAATCTCTTTTTGGTGTGTGTTTTTTTAATTTGCTGAGTTATTATTGGTATTGTATTTAATTTGTATGTTCATTTGTGCAGAATGGCTACCTTGACAATATCAAATCTTCTAATCCATGAACTGGCATATTTTTCATTTGTTTGCGACTTTAATTTTTCTCAGCAATATTTTGTAATTATTTTTTCTTTTATTTAATTCTCTCCTGAGGATATGTATATATGTTTGTTTGTTTTTGTAAATATATTTTATTGAGTTTTTACAGAGAGGAAGGGAAAGGGATAGAGAGCTAGAAACATCGATGAGAGAGGAACATCGACCAGCTGCCTCCTCCACACCCCCTACTGGGGATGTGCCCGCAACCAAGGTACATGCCCTTGACCGGAATCAAACCCGGGACCTCTCAGTCCGCAGGCCAACGCTTTATCCACTGAGCCAAACCGGTTTTGGCTGTATATGTGTTTTGAGGATATATTTTTATTGATGAGAAAAAGAGCAAGAGACAGACATAAGAGAGAGAAACATTGATTCATTGCCTCCCATATGCAAGGGGATCGAACCGGCAACCTGGTTATGTGCCTGGACTTTTTGGTGTATAGGATGATGCTCCAACCCACTGAGCCACCCAGCCAGGCTATTTTGTAATTCTTAGTGTACAGGACGTGTACATGTTTTTAAAATGTATCCGTAAACATTTATATTTCTCAAACTGCTATAAACAGAATTAAAACATTTTTATCTTTAATTGTGTACTGATAGTAAGCAGAAAAACAGTTGGTTTCTATATGTTGAGCTTATATGCAGTGACTTTGCCAAATTCACTCACTGGCTCTCGGAAGTGTTTTTGTGGATTCTGTAGGATGTTCACAGGAAGAAA